ATATGGGCATTTTAGGTATTTCATTTACGTACTATACAAAGTCCACCTGTTTCAAGACAGACTACAGGTATTTTCTCAATTACCAAGCCCAATTAGAGGTTTAAAAAGAATGAATTTTGCCTGAGCTAGTGTTAAGCAGTTGCTGCCAAAACTAAAATAAAAACTGACATTTTAATTCAGTTATAGGTTAACTTTCCAGCATTTCTATTCATGTCAAAGCAACTCTCAGGAGTTTCAAACATAAGTAGAACTTTATTGGTCCATTAAACATTAAATTTATGACACCATGTTCACTCAATGTACAAAAGAAATGTTCATAGAAAAACTATTAACATGCTTTAAAAATGCAAAGGTGCTTACAACTGAATTGTTCTTAAGCTCTAAAATCTTCAACAGCTCTCAAAATTCAAAACAGTATTACAATAGCTAGAGATCATAACATTAATAAACTGTTAAATAAGCTAAAGCTAGTAAACCTCTATTTCACTGGGCTACAATTTGTAAAAAGAGAATAGAGAGATTAAAAACTCCTTTGATATATTAAAGAACTTTAAAAATATTTTAAAATTAAAAATTGCCATTAAAAACAAAAGTTAGTTTTTGAATCTTTTGTATCCAGTTTGGAACCTGGAATACAAAATTGAACTGGACTGATTTGTGCTAAATACAAAATATGCAAATGAACCTTGTATTTCTTTTGAACTTGTATATTATAAATGTTGGTACTCGGCTCAAAATGAAAAGATACTTCCCATGTTACCTTTTTTAACATCAGGTTTGCATCAATACTGCCAAGCAATATTTAAAAACCTGGGTATATTTCAATAAGGGAAAAATAAAATGACAGTATGAATTACATGATTTCTTTATAGCTGTCCAAATTTTGTCTTGGCTTCAGAATGAAAACTCTTTGGCAAAAATACAGTTACAGTGTTGCACCCCACAAATCTGACTGCCCAAAACTTCCAAAGCATTTCTTAGGATGCTGGAAAGGTTCCCAAACTGACAACCACATTTCTTAAGATATTTGTGCAAATGGCTTATGATCTACAGTAGTCAAAGCAATCAAAGTGACTTGGGGAAAAAAGCCGATTTATTTTAAATACTAAATAACTATACACTATCATTTCATTATAATACATCAGCAGAGCTGTGGAACAGCTTTTAAGTCATACCAGCAATCCTTGTGATTAGTAAGGTAAATAGGTTTAAGGTCTTATTCAAACCTCCAAAATATCCTCGGATGTTAGAAAGCGAGTCACCATGCCAGTCTCAACCATTGAACTTAAGGACTCTACTGGTACGGGCACACGTGTGTCAGTTCAATAATCTCTGAATGCTCCCCCTTTGTGGGTGCTGTACCTTTTAGGTATCAGAAGTACAAAAATAGGAGTCAGAAGAATAAAAAAAAAAAAAAGCCACGCATGATCCCTGCAATTCCCTTTGACAGGGTCATGTTAAGCACCAGTAACAAGAGACAAAGTTTATACAAAACCATAAAAACTAAATAAAATCCACTGCATTTATGATACATTTCCTTCCTTCCAAGAGGTTACAGGGAATGGAACTAGACTCCATTACAGGCATCAGAAATAAGTCACCTTAGCACAGCAGAATCAGTTTTAAATACTAGCACTGATTCACATTTCCCATTCAAGACCCTGCTCCAGCTTTTACCTCATCCAACAGGTAAGAGACTCACTAGTAACAGGAGGACTCTTTGAGGTTTACTATCATTGAAAACACTTCAGTTTTGGGGTCGAGTAAGAATTTGGCCAGCTTTATGCAGGTTAGAAGCTTCTCTCACTGGGGAGAGCTGGCTATGCAAACTGGGATCCACAGACCATAAGGAGGAGAAATAAGAATATTTCTGGAGAATGAAACAACCTGACGTGCTGCTGACTGGGCGGGGGCGGGGAGGAGCAATGCACCAGGAGGGAGACACCAAAATTCAAGTTTCCCCGGGGTGCCATTTCTCCTTAGGTCAGCTCGGACAATAAATACACGTGGACTCATCATATTGGGTTTTAATCTTGTTTTGGACAGAACTGAACAGTGTTAGAAGTAGTAAAAGAAAAAAAAAAGGCAGTGGGTTATCTGGATACTGATCCAATTAAAACTTTCACAACAGGTTTGAGAACATCACAGGCTGTTGGTCTAATTAAAGCAGGGTGAGCACATGCTAATTACTTACATTCTCCTGATGCATAGATTGGAAAAATGTTTTACCAGCAACTGATTTTTTAATGATGTAGTTGTTTTCCTGATAGAAGTATTTGCCCCCATTAAAGGCAAGGAGAATTATCTTTATAGGTGCGTAGCTTGCAACTTCATAAAAGCATTTGGAGTTTGCAAAAGGTGCTACATAATAAATAAATAAATAACGTGCAGTGTTTATGATTAGGAGAGGAAAAGACCTCTGCACTACTTACAGGATAGCAACAATAAATTACCCGTTTCAGGAAAGCAGCTTGCTTCCAAAGCTTCCTTCCTCAATGTGTTTCAATGGGACAAAATGGAAGCATTCTGATTGGTCTACTGAAAAAATCCAGACTATCCAATTAGGCTTTAACTAAATTAAATGGAAAAGCATGATATATTTTATAAAGGCCAGTCAATTTTAAACAGAGTCTGAACATATAAAGTGTTTTACAATCCTTGCAATTGTAAGCACAATTTTTATTTCCAGCAATAAATCACTTCTCCTTTCAGTACCTACCTGTTAGAAGGGCCTGAATACCTTGAGGCCCCATCACACTGAGGGAAACTGCAGCATAGCAGACTAACCCTTTTGCTTCTCCAGGGTTTCTAGTAAAGGTTTTTTCACCTTGTTTTACAATCTAGATGTTTGGGTTCAGAGGCTTGCTCTCAAAGGTCACCTTGGCTTCTATTTGAGATCAAGCTAAGAGTGACAGCCACAATAGCTGTCTTGGCAAACTAATCACAGAAATAAGGTAATGAACGATTATTCCAAGTTCAATTAGAATTTCAACTACAACGAAGAAAAAATATTCAGGATCACATTTACAATCTTGGAACTTTCAAGAAGTCTTTGGCTCTCTTAAGAAATGGAGGCCTCCTTCAGTATGGTATATGCTGTTGGGTTGCCAGACACACTACTTCATAAACCCCAGATGAGCTGAACGGAATCTGTGGGGATCCTGGATTCAGAAGGGAGGGCAAGATCTTAGTTATCCTTCATCCTGGACACCTAAAAAACTAAGTTGAGGAAGTCCCCCAGAGCAGGACCCCAACCCGTATACATGGAAGACCTGTACAAGGAGAGACCAGGGCAGCAAGCACTGAGCAGGCAGAGTTTCGGGTGCCTTACAGGTTTATCCTTTATGCAACCATAGTTTCTTCTGTATGAAATAGCTATTTCCCTAAATAATCTAAACTACAAGGAGAATGCAAATATGCATACAAAAAGTGTAATTGCGGAGAGATACTGCATTTGGATTGGATTTCTGAACCTGACTAAAACCTTCAGTTGGCCAAGACGAAGATACCCAATAGAGATGATCCATTTTATGGGCAATGACTGAAGAGATTCAGCCCATCAGATACAAAGAATGATTGTTATTAACACCATAATTCTGTATACTAGCTGACTTTCTCTGGTCTGGAGTAATCTAAACACACTGGTATTTTAATCATTAAAACTTTGTTTTTTATAGATTTAAATACAGCACTGCAAGACTACCTGTACAGGTGCTTGTATAAGGAATTTGCTGCATCTTGATAGTGGTTCATAGTTCTAGTACCAAACCAGAAGAATTCAAAACTCCACAAGGTGCTTCTAATTTCTGTAACATATAGCTCAGCTAAATAAGCTTTTTATCAGCCAGACACTTTGGCAATAAATGACTTTAAAGTTTACTTTAAAATGAATCGGTCATTTCTATTATATCAGTTTAGTCACTCACCTCCTAGCTCATCTACTGGGGACTTTTAACAAGCCATAGGCTAGAACAACCTGGTTCAAAGTGGGCTCCGTGGCTCTAGCAATGCATGCTCCAGCAATGCGTGCATGTGCGTGTGCGCTTCCCCCAGCTCCCTGGCTGCAGCATAAGTGCAGCTTCCACCCTGCTGGGGAGATGTGCAGGGACTGGGCAGCCGGAAGCTATGTCCTCACCGCTACCAGCCCCCACTTTCCATATTCCAGCTGCAGCACAGCACCTCACAGGCTTGAAGCTACATCCACACTACAGGCAGGGAGCAGGGGGAAAAGGCAGCAGCGCAGGCATAACTTCCAGCTGCCTGGCCCCAGCACAGGCTAAGCTCTGTGGCTTCATGGGCTGGATCCAACTCACAGGCCATATATTGCTAACCCCGCCCTAGCATCTACAGTTACTGTTACAGTTTGGGCAAGGCACCCAAACAAACAGTCTCATCTCAGGACTCTTACGCTCTTGCCTGAAAGAGGGGCTGTATTAGATTGTAAATGTATAACCTGCTGGTGCAGAGAACTGCTTGGCCAGACTCACAGCACCCTCCCAGAGTTCATAACTGGTACGAGGGGCTATCTGTATAGGCCCCACAATGGAAATAAAACCAAATCAGAATGCACAAAACTACTTATTTGCCTTTCAGTTAACAGCAACATTTATTTACACTATTTTTCATTATTTATTTATTTAGTGAGGTCTAAATTGGAGGAGAAAAGAGCAGATTCACTTCCTGACAGAAGAAATCCTCCATCAAATCACAGCACAGTGGGAATTTTGAGGCTATGGAAACTCTTAAGAACAAAGGGAAAGGCTGTGTACGTTTCTAGAACTGTGCCAAGTCTGCAGACTTTGCTAGAGGAAGGAGTATGGAAGTGTTTGGAGTATTTCAACCCTTCCAGACTCCAACCTGGACAGAACCCCAGTATCCCCCTCTCAGCTCTAAGGAGAAGCCTAAAACCGCTTAACTTAGATGACTTGGGGCGAAGTGGTGGCCAGTCTCTCCCAAAAGGCAGATAAGTTTGTTTTTACTGTGTTTAAACTAAAAACATCATTTAAAGAACATCTATGTTGATCTGAATTACTAGAGTGCAATACTGGAAGCCATCACGGATGGTAGGTTGCATTTCAGTAAGGCTTGTTTATGGAAGAGGTTTAGGAGGAGACAGGCAGGAAGGAGATACACCTCAGTGCCCAGGTAGGCACAGTGGCAGCACCAGAGAGAAAGTGTTCACAGAACAAGTCCATCACAGCAGATGACAATTTATCAGCTGTGCAGTAAAATAACTGTCACAGTTATTGCAGTATAGAACGATCAAGGCATGATGGCAAGTTGACAAACCACTTGTCTCAATATATCGTGCTTTTTTACATTACACTACAGCTACTGAGAGTGAGACTTGCTAGCCCAGAACTGGTCACTTCTTGCCATATCATAGTTGATGGATTTTTTAAATCTTATAGTAAATAGTTGGATTTAAAACCTAGGACATTCAGAAGCTTCAAATTATATTTAATCTATTTAGCAACTACAGTCTTTCAAGTATACTTCTATCACAAAAAGCAACTAAAATGACACTGAATCTTACAGTGTTCACCGGGCAGGTAATTTTCCTGATCAAGGATGTTCTATTCATGCCGAGATTTGGTTGTTAAAATTGCCAGCCCAAACTCTAGCAATGAAGATTCTGAAAATGGACTAAGAGCTGTCCAGTCTGAGAAAAATGTGCAATTAAAATACTCTAGGTCCCACCCCCATAGTGCTGTTGTCCCAGAACAGCCAAGAGGAGTAAAAAGGTAGTAAGTTTATATCCCAGGAAACGTGTACAGGTCTGTTGAATAAGGCGGCAGGTTGAATAAGAAGATGCCATTATGCAGTCCCTTTTCTGATCATCACTGAACTTTAAAGCATAACAAAGTTAGTAGGAAAGACAGAAAAATGAGGCTGTGGCAAAGGAAATATTTAGATACAGGTAACAAAGGAGGGCATAACAAATAATGCTTGGGTTAATATACCCTTAAACTTTCATTTTTGAGGTTTAAGAGCAACTGGAAAACACTCGCTAACATTTGTTCAGCATTTCCTCTGTCAGTGATACATACTCAATTTAGAAAGGAAAAAAAGGAAGAATCAAGGATGCACCCTGCATAATATCGCTGGATAAACTTCTCAGGCTGCATTTAGCTGCCACTTACAAAGCAAATCCCTCAAAACTACATTAGACGATCAGCTGCACAGACAGCATTATTTTTTTGTTGACAACTGGACCAGTTATTAAATTACATAAGTATTTTGCTTACATAGATGTTTGAATTGAGAGGTTTTTACCACCATTTTCTTGTACAGTTTCTATAATCTCTGAATGTCTGAAATCCTTTTCACCACTCTTCTCATATAATAAACTAATTAAAAAGGTGCCTTCTGGTTAATATAATAAATATTTCTATAGCCATTGATACATTTTTCTCATTCCATGTTTACAATAATTTAATATATTGAGTAAGAGAAGCCATTTTTGAGCAGATGCTTTGCCCAACTCCCACTGTAGTCAAATACTATTGATCTGCTATTTTTTCATGTAGATGCTTCTGTCAAAAAGTTTCCTGGAGACTAGTATCACTTGGTGTGCAGTACAAGGAAGTTTGAATCAGCATCATGATTGCTTTCCTTGTAAATAAGATGTCACTGACAGTAATAACTTTTTTTTGGCTAGAAGGCACCTGGTGTTCTCAAGAAGGAAAATGCATTTGCACTATGTTTTGTTTTACTTTTGTTTGGAAAGAAGATTGTCAGTTATTCAAAAAACTTTACATTTTCTAGTATATGCAACATTACACATTTTCCTTCCCCTTCTACACCAGTGTTGCAACACCTTTGACTAGACATATTCCTTGGGACTCCATCTGTTTACAAAGTTAAAAATGGTTTTAAAAAAAGTCTTCGGCTCTAGAGTTTCTTCTGACAGAAAAAGTCACTAACCACCACATTAATATGTCTGGCTGAGATGATACCTCCATCAAAAATGACTGATGTGGTATACTTAAACAGAATAAATGGCTCTGGAAAATCTTCACACTGAGAACTGTCTGGTTGGACAGCAGAGAGGTGCTACGAGAGTCCATAAGTAGAGCAGGACACACACCCAGCATGAGATCATCTTAATCCAGAAGATGGACCAACTTTCACTGAAGATTTTTTCAATCTCAGCTTCTTCATAACTGAGAAAGATAAAGAGAAAAGGTTAAAACCCCACACACCCACCACACAGCACTTAAACAGATACCTTTCTATTGTGGGCTGCAACTGTCTTTTATTTTTTATGAAAATAACTGACTTCAAGCAGCCTAACTTTGTACTGGGAAAAAGAGGCCAGTATCCACACGGAGATTGAGAACTTGTTTGGGGATCAACCAGGATAAATCAGTCTTTTCTCTCTCTCCAGTTAAGGGACCAGATTTGTGAGACTTCTCCAGTTATAGGAACAAATTTGAAGATCCAAAAACTGAGTGCCCAATTAATAGTATATTAACATTCAATTTCTTACCCTTTACATTTTTCAAAAAATTTTGTAATTTAAGTAAATTTAAGTAAATTTTTCAAAATGTACTTACTGAAACCAGTGGGTTACTGTCATCATCACATAAAGAGAAGCCAGGAAGAAAATGAAGTGGAAGTAGGCATAACTGTACACAGTGCCTTTCTTTTCATCATAAATTACAGTCTGACCTCCCCTTTTTACAACACGCTCCTCTGTATCAGCTGTATGAAACAGGAAACAAGACAAGAAAAAAGCTTCTTCACAATTCAAACGAAGAATGGCACAGTGGTAGAATTCACATCCTAGGAGACCGATTAAAATGAATAATCTTACACCCAATTCAGCCAAGTATTCCTATTCAGCACAAGACTTACACATCTTCTTGACTTTAGATATGTGCTTACATCTCATTGAAATGATCATTTAAATGGACAGGACAAATTCACGATTAAATGTTGTCTCCAAGTGAGATCTTAATCAACTGGGAGGCTTCCTGAAAGTGGCAATGTGTAGGGGGTACACGGGGATGTACGTGCAGCCAGAGAGCACTAGTGCATCCCCTGTCAGGCCATACTCCCCACTCAGGTGATGGGGAGGCGGGAGCACTGGAGTCTCCCCTGAGAGCGCCAGCCGGGGAGCGTGAGCACCAGATGTAGGCTGCAGCTGCTTCTGGAAGCCCCACGGCCACTTCCAGGAGTAGGGTGGCCACTCACTGATTGGCAAGTTTTGCTGTGGGAGGACCACCCCTCAGTTGGCACATGGTCACTGACTGGTTGCTGAGGGGAGGGCATGTGCCCTGCCTGACTAAGGCGGCACCAGTTGCCCCTACTTCCTGAGCTTCTAGGCCAGTGATTCTCAAACAGGATGCCACACAATATTAGTACTATCAGCTGTGCAGACACTTAGGCTAGGGACAGACATTCAAAAATCCAGAGCCTGAATCGATTCAAATCTTACAGGTTAGTCTAACCTGCCTAGATTGAACCAATTTGCAAGTGAACAGGCGTTCATGAGATGCTGGGAACGGTCTGCAGTGGCTCAGGTCAGGAGCTGGGCAGTGCTAAAGCAGCCCTTGGCTAAAGGGAAGCTATGTAGGGGGCAGTGTGGCCAGCACTGGCCGTAGCTTGGAGTGAACTGGCCCAGGAGGGAGTTTAATTCCTCCCAGCCTGTCCCACCAGCACAGACCCAGGCCGGGGTCTGCTGGGTGCTCCCCCCTTGCTGCTGCAGCAGTTGGACCAGGATACAGCCAAACGCCAGCCAGCGTGGCCCCTCAGGTGAGGGGACAGGACAGGAGGTTATTCTCCCCACTACCCCCACTGCCCCTGGGGGACCTCAGCTGAGGTCTGACCACCCCGGCTGCTGCCACCACTCACTTCCTGCACAGGGCCGAGCAGCAGGATTAGCCCCCTCCTGCCCCCTTGGCCAGATGCCTCCTTGCCTAAAAGACCGTACCGGCTGGCCTCTGGCCAGACCCCCAACTGCTGCAGCAGCGAGGGAGGAGTGCCCATCAGACCCTGGCTCAGGTCTGTGGGACAGGGACGGGAGAATTAAACCGCCTCCCTGGCCAGTTCACTCCAGGCCTCTACCTGGGGCTCGCCATCGCCTGCTGCTGGAGCAGACAGTGGAGGCATGCAGGTTGTGCTAGTGGCATGGAGGAAGGGTGGTGGGGAATGAAACTCTCCCTTGCTCCCTTCCATGGCCAGCGTCTGGCCAGGCCCCCACCCCTGCCTGTCCCTGCACGGGCTGGAGAGCAGAGGGGCAGGGCCAGCCCTGAGCTTGCCAGGATAGCAGGGGACTCTGATTTAACTTAAATCAGGAAGGGGGCTGGGACAGAAGTTGCATAAACCAGTTTGAGCTCAATCAGTTAAATCCTATAATACATTCAACCAGATTTATCTCAAACTGATTTTGTGCACTGAACTTATGTTCTGTTACAGGTTTAAACCAGTTTCTCATCACTTAAACCCGTTCGTGTGTAATGTCTGTCCCCAGCCTTACACATGCTTCATAAGATAAACCAAGAGGTTTCAAACTGGAATTCACATTTTCAAAATACTCTGACTAGCTGTGGTCCTGTTGCAAAGAACTCAGAAAGGATTGCGTTGCTGGTTTTCTACAGTCAAAAAAAAACGAGGGTTAAAAAGTTAAGAACTGGCATTTTCCAAGAGGCATCTTGAGTCTAAAACTGTTGTAAGCATTGTACAGGTCTCACAGCCCATGCCACGCTTTCCAATTCCACAGTGAAAGTCCCAGCATTATTGGGCTGCAGCCCATAGGTGCACTAACTGGTTTTCCACTGGTCCTTTTACACCAATGGTTCTCAACCTTTTTAGACTCCAGCCTCCTGCCCCACCCCCCCCCGGTAATTTTTTAAAATTTAGCAGTACCCCATTTAAAGACATGTATTTCTTAGTGCACTTACATCCTTCCACCTTGTGGAACCCTTAAAAGGATTTTACAGGGGGGCAGGGCACCCCTAACAGTATGGCAGGAGGTGGTGCACAACACTGGCAGGGGCTGCTTGGTAGGGCAGACTGGGTACCTTATGGGTGGGTCATTAGATCCCTGAAGGAGGCACCTGTTCCTGCAACATGACAGTGGCTGCTGGTAAAGAGACTGATGCCAGGTGAAGGCAGCAGGGGCAGATCTGTGCCCCACTCTTGCTACCACCCCCATCCAGCCCCTATCTCTATCTGAGGGGGTGAGTGCTGCTCCTGCCAGCATAGCTGCTCCTCCAGGGACCTAAATGCCAGTAACCAGACCATTTTCCATGGCCTCTCCCAGCAACTCTGGGAGTACGGGAGGAGTTGGGGAATGATCCAGGCTGAAGAAGCGTGGCCCTACATCCACCTGCAGCAAAGTGTGCTGCTCAGATCATGGGGGCAGTTGGCACTGGGGCTGCTGGGAAGTAGGGGTTGAGCTTTTCAGCTCAGCTCAGCTCAGCTCAGCTCATTCCCCTGCTCCTCTCATGCTCCCAGAGTTGCTGGGAATGGCTGAGGGGAATGGTGCTTGATGGACTTGGGATGCCAAGCATATGGAGGAGCCAGCACTACCTCCTCACAGAAGCCAGGCAACATGCTACCCTTCTAAGCAGCTTGCATCATCCAGTTGACAATCACTGTTCTACACCAACTGGGATGGAGCCGAGGCTGACTCACAAAGGCTGAACACACAAGTTTGGCAGACACAACAGGACACTCCTTTTTTCTACCCACCAGTGTTGAGAGCCAAGATTCCTCTTTGATTGTTTCTTTAAAATGCTGACTGCAAGTAATTAATAATCCTGTGGTTTTACTTCTTTTACTGAAATATTTCCCTTCTTGTGCTGTTACATGTAATGCAGAAAACCTAACAACAGATTAACCACATAGGCAAGAATAGAAATTTCTCTTAATTGGAAGAAAATTCAGGTTGGTCTTAATTTATTTTCTAGGTTCTTCATGCTGCTGAAGCAGTCTCAGTTCATTATCAGATTAAGGAGTCTGTGTGTGGGGTTGCACAGAAATTCTTGCTTTCATATTTTTCTGATTTGATCTAAATGTTGAAAGCCATACCCAAGTAAAAGATATAGGGAATTCATAATTACCATCTCCATCAGGTGTACAGCAGAAGCAGCAACGAGCCACCTATGAGAGACACCAAATTGAGACTTTATGTAACAAGAGAAACAGCCTTCTCTTGACAAAGGACACAAGCCTATTTTGATTTAACCTTAAAACGGGAGGTTTGTACTTATCAGGAAAAACCAGGAAGCTCCTTAATAAGGCTTGATGCCAATTAACTATGAGGAAATATTGCACGTGATCATTTTACATAATCCAAGACCCAACATCCAAATTGCAACTGTGTCATATAGCTACAGTGGAGCTGTGTTATAAGATGGCTGGGTACTGCAGTTGGCTCTTCAGACTTGTAAATGTTTAAATAACATTTCTTTATTGAAAGGATGACACAAAGACAATTAAATTGCAGGTGTTCCTACCACATTTGGTAGGACTGCAGTTGGAAGAGAGAAAAATGTAACTAGGATGCTAATGAATTTTAGTAGTTGCAGGGCTGGAGTCAGGGGTAGAACAATAAAGTTTATAATATTTTTACTTAAGCAAGAAAAGAAAATTTTTGACAAATCTCATGTCTTAATTTAGAAGCTTTTCTTGCTTTTCTTCACTGGTGGCACAGATGCTTCCAAAATCCATTTGTTTATTCCCAAACCTTTCCCCCCCGTTTCCATTACCTGTTGGATGCGTCTACATGAGATGCTATGTCAGCAGGCACAAAATGTGATGCCAACACTACTGTGCAATAGTATGGGAAAAAAATCCATGTAGCATTATGACTGTGCAGTAACAACTGCACAGTCCACACATATGTATTAAAGGGTGCGTCTACAAAAGATTATATCTTTATTGTGCATTTCCCCTATTTTATACTTCTGCACATATTTTATAGCAGAGGCATGTTTATACGGCTCCAATATTTGTTGTGCTGCCATTGCTATTTAAAGATTTTTAGCCCAATAAAGATCACATAGCAAGAAACTGATGTGGGTGCTTTCAAGTTTGTAATGTCTGTTAACAGAAAGTACAGACAAGTGTTTTCCTATAGAATATGCATAATTAAATATAATCTCTACAAACACAGAGAGACAAACAGCAAATGTCCTGCTTAACTGCCTAACAGCTTATTTGAATAAGGAAAATACATGTTTTTCCAATGGTTTGGCTTATGAGGCTTCTTGCTTTTAAAGTAAACTTAGACAATAGCTTCTGCCTTTAGCTTCTATTATATCCTGAAATGAATGCCAGGTTCCTCCAAAGAAAGTGCTTTTTCTTCAGATGCTTTTGTCAGAAATTCAAGGCTTGAAACATTAACTGATGCAATTAGTACTGTTGGCATGCATACAAGTAGCCCTTTATAATGCTAAATTGTCTGTAGTTTAGGTGGTGAAAGACTCTCTGTACAACACACGCAGCTGCAGAATTGTGTTTACATTTCTGGGCAGAAGACAAAAGCCTTTTATCACAGGGAAGACAATCAGAATGCAATTAGTTGCATGTAAAATGTAAAGAAATGACTGGCAATGGGCATCAGTTCTTGTACAGCTCTTTAAACCCAAATGATCTAGAAGTAATTCTATTGTTGAGTGCTCTAGCTCAACTGTTCAGCCTCTTCAGGCATGACCCATGTTTACCAGACAGACTAGCTGTGCCAGCTAGTGCCTGCCTCCTCTTCCATTCAAAGTGCATTTTACACACAGAAGAGCTTAACTGCTTCAACCTCTCACAATGAGAAGACCTGGACTGTAGGTCAAAGTCTGCACAAATGACTGGCAAGCAGGCAACAAGTATACATAGGAATCAAACACAGAGGGTCACCATTAGGCACACATGCAAACAGTCCTAAAGTACTAACCACTTGCTAGGTGTAATGTTGATAGTATCTACTTGAGATTCAGCAGTAAGCAAGAGCTGCTATTCTCCAAAGAATTGTGTCATATTTATCACTTTTTGTATGTAAAAAATAAATACTGAATGCATGCTTGTTACATGCTCAAAGTTCGTTACTGTAGTATATTTACACTGCAACTGAGAAAGGCTAGAAGCAACACTTTTTGAAAGCTGAAAGAGAGCCTCCATTCTAGAGAACGTTCAGGACTGCCAGAAAGCAGATTTTTACACTACCCAGTGATTTAAGTCCTCAGGTCTAAAATATTTTTAAAATGCAACTAATTTTGCAGGTTGAGTCATTAAGTTTGCAAAGTGCACAAATTTTTGAGCAAAAGGATTTGGAGAACTTGGGTTTTCAGAATGCTCACGTTGTAAGTGGTTCAAGTCACTTTTTGTCTTTGCTGAAAGATGGATGAGCACGGAGAGTACAAACAAATATGTCCATTGTGACCCAAGAGAAGAGTTGCAGCAACTAACAAGCAAAGGGGGGCTAGAATGGAAGCAGGAATTCAGCCTTTTAAATGTGAAGCTATTAAGTGTATGTATGGAAAGTAACTGCTTATTTTTGCTACCTAGCATGACAAATTCATTTATTATACTTCTCCATAATGTGTCCTTCCCTGTAAGGATACCAAGAAGAAGGGCTATGGGGAAGAACACCACACACCAGCAAGTGAATGGTTTGGAGACCTTCAACAAGCTCCAACATAAAAACTCTAATACTCTTGATCATAATTTTGCCCTTCTCGAATATTTTTCAAATCAGCATTTCCTGTAACTCAAATATATCTGTCTATATTCTTACTGCAATCTTGACTTCAGAAGATGCAAGTTTCTGGAAAACAGTTAAATCCCAGTTTAGAGAGAATTAGATAAAGCAGCAAACTGCATCCTCACAGGAAGCCTGTAGAACATCAGGAAAAAACATCACAAAACTGCAAGAATAACTGCAGGTGCACTGTATGGGGATATAATTTATGTGTTTCTGTTGCTGTTTGGGGTTTATGTTACACTGTGAGGTTTGGGGTAGCGTAAAGGGTGGAGGTAGCCACAAAAGGGTGCCATCACTGAGTGTCATGTTAACTATTTGAGGTATCCCACAATTTGGGGGCTATGTTCCAAGGGCCCAGCACAGTGATGCACAGCCAGGTACCCAATATAGAGAGAGTGGTGGAGGCCAGAGACACATGCTGACATCTGAAGCCTGCCTGCAACCTAGGCTGTGGCTTGGGGTGTTGAGCAGAAATTAGTACCTGGAAAAGAGCCTAGAGAATTAGTGCCCCAAGAGGCAGAGAGATAGAGAGAGCGCGCCCTGCTTGATTTAAAGGCATGAAGATTAGCAGACTGGCAGCTGATGGTGAACAGGATGGGCCAAGGCACTGAAAACTGAACTCCGGTTCTCTGAAGGCAGCCTTGCAAATGTGTTACATCTAGATGTGGCAGGTGAGAGACTGAGGCCAGACTCGGGAAGCTGGAGTAGGAGAACAGGCATAGTGTGGCCCCTAGTGGGTACTGTGGCCACCCCTGGAGCCAAAGCTCGTTACAGGGATAGTGCAGGGAACGGGTGTCTCACTTCAGTTTCAGGTGTTGCATATATTCCCCGCAGTGCTTCAGAGCTCGCACGGGTAGTTGAGGTCAAACTAGAAGAGAAAACAAAAATAGTTAGTATAAGCCTGTTTTCTACAGTGCTGAAAAATAAATAAATAAATCGCTTTTCTAGTAAGAGCTCAAGGTTTTCAATCACTGAATTAAACACTACAAGACACAGAAGTGCTAAATCTAAAAAAGGTTTATTCTGTGCAAATTAAATCTGTAAGACATACTTACTCATGCTATAATCACAAACTTAAATTAGGCCATTTCTGTTGATGCTCTTGCCACCAGGCATGGACAGTCAACATAAAAGCTAAATACACTGATTTGTATTTCCAAACAGTTTATCCCCTACTATGTGACTGAGGTTTTGTTCTTCAATGGTAATTTACAGCAGTTACTTTGACCAATACTGAATGGAAACACCAGTCAAAACTTTGTACAGGAAACAAACTCAGTTAGCATGCAGGTTTAACTGACATTCAGAAGCTAGTTACTAGAAACCCTATTTGTCTAGTCCAAGGGTGTCAATACTGCCCATGGTCCACACCCAGCCCAGGGGCACAGGCGAGTTTGACATCCCTGGTTTAGTCAATAATCCCACAGTGTAGATCCAGACCGTCCACGGGCAGTTCATGTTTCATTTCTTCTTGGAACCACCTCTCCTGCCCATCCTCTCTCTTGCAAGTCATACTATGCAAACTCTCCACTAGCCCACCCAGGGCATGAACAAACATACAATCCTAATGGTTTCTAAAGGGAGGAAGAGCTGCTGCTTGGGCAGCTTACAGCAGTTTTTATTTTCTAACAAATGTATCACTCCAGTCTTGTGGACAGTAAATGTTTCCTTTTTTTTTTTTTTTTTTTAAGGGTTTTTTTGTTTTTTTTTTTAAAAAAATTTTTCCCCCCGTCTTTGGGGCAAGAAATTTTTTCTTTTTTTTTTTTTTTTAAAAGGTTGTATGTGTATATATTCTTACAAAACTGTTCTATATTTGCATTTAAGTCCTTATACACCTACATATTCTTAAGCCAAACTTTTAAAATCAACTAATAGTTATTCTTTTAAAAGGGAGATTGTCCTGTTAAGAGTCACTTGTATAAACAAAACAATCCTTAGGGACACTAGAAACTACCCCTTTTTAAAATGCAGCTCTTCAGTTATATAAAACAACTGTTATTTTTCTCTGTATACTTTTTGTATGCATTTCCATATGGAAAGCCAAATGGACTAGCCAGTTTCATCAGTCTTTCTACTCAATTTCACTTCCAGATTCTAGATCTTGATCACAGGCAAAGGAGGGATGCATCTCATCTTGTGCCTTTAATATTCAGCAGGATTTGTGACTGTTCCTTTACTTCAGGCCCTACCAATGGGCAGAAACACAACACTACCCCAATGTTCAGCTGGACAGCTGTGCTGTGGAACAGAAATGATTACTACAGTGTTCAATCTGCATTGCTGCTGGAGGAAGACACTGCTACTTTCTTCAGAATATCAGATATTGTTATCAAAGTGAAAATTCTCATCTTTACAATTCAGAAAGTTTCCAAAATATGAGTAGAAACCAAAGCAATGATATCTGCCCGAGTCTATAGCTGGACATCCTGCGCCAGCTTCTTTTGTAGACCCCAATGACACTGCATTGCTTCAACCCTTTTTTGAACTTTTTCCTTCAACAGAATATATGGACTTGCCCATTCATTATTACAGAATATTAGATCATGAGTGTAGGTCTTGCTAGACAAGCCCAGAAGGATCAAGTCCTTCTTAGGAGGCTATAGCTCCTAGACACAGTACATGCAAGACTCTTTGGGAGCTGGCTACATCCACACACACAAATAGCTGCTGGAATTAATTATAATGGCCAGGCAGCTGGGAAGAATTAGGAAGGTCTAGATTCATTGGAAGTGGTAGCTCAATACTGGACAAGATAATACAGATGCAACAAGAAAGTTAGATGAACGTTATAATTCAGACCTAGTTAAGGACTTTCAGACCTAGTTAAGGACTACCTGGAGGGCTTAGATGTGTCCAAGTCAGCGGGCCTGGATGACCTTCATCCACGGGTGCTGAGGGAATTGGCTGGTGTCATTGTGGAACCATTGGCACAGCTATTTGAGGACTGCTGGTGCTCAGGCTAAGTCCCTGAGGACTGGAAAAGGGCCAATGTGGTCCCTATTTTCAAGAAGGGGAGGAAGGAAGAGCCTGGCAACTACAGGCCAGTCAGCCTCACTTCTATCCTGCAGAAGGTCTTTGAAAAAATTATCAAGGGCCACATTTGTGAGAGCCCTGCAGGGGAAGTGATGTTGAGGGGTAACCAGCATGGGTTCGTGCAAGGCCAATCCTACCTGACTAACCTGGTCTCTTTCTATGACCA